GAAAATTTTGAAGATATGGAGAGGGAAAGCATTTTAAAAACAACAGGTGGGAGGTGAAAAGTGGAAGTAAATTTTTAACTTGCTTTTCAGATGAAAGGTCCCTTCCTTCATGCATATAAAAATATATTCTATATAATATCATTTGCTCAAAGCAAATTTTGGAGTTGTAGGTTTGATAGCTGTAGTACTTACTTCACAGGGTTGTTATAAGGCTCAAATGAATAATATTCTTTTGCTGATTTTGAGCAGTGTATAAAAATATTTGTCCATTGTTATTAATAGAAACTTTAGAGTATATCTCTTTTTGAGAGAAATATGAAGGGAAATTACCTGTATTGGACCAAGTTTACATAGAGGAGATTCACATCAGAGGTGATATAATTATGATAACATTGAGCTACCCAATGCAAAAGGTATCTGAAGGGGAAGATACCAATAGTATAGAAAAAACTTTAGGCCTTCTTAATACTAAAAAAAAAATTTTTTTGAGAAAACATCAAAGGATGGGAGAGGGGGAAAGAAAAAAATTTACATGATAAGTTTTATATATTTAAAAGGAATAGTAAGTTGTACATAATAGATTTGCAGTTTCATCTTTTTTATTATACTAACTTATAAATTAAAAATAAAATAAAATTTAAAAAAAGGCTTCTCTGACCTGTCTATCTAGTCTATAATCTCCATAAAATTTTCGAGTTGATATGTGTGCATGTGTGTTTTTATATATATACATGCCACCCACACATATGACTCACATATAACATCTATTAAGAGTATTAGGGCATAATTATGTTTTCACAAGCAATATCGAACACTGGACCACATCTAGAAGACTTAAGAATATAAGATACCATTGTGTTTATTGTTTGTTGATTATAAAAGAGTATTCAACAGGCTTCTTTACAAGATATATCCAATCTATACATCAAAACTCATTCAAGATTATTTGGAAGATATAGCAACAGAAATGACCTTGTTTAATGATCATCTTATAATGAACATCAGATGAAGCATAAAAAAAGGATCTTTATGGTTATCAAAGGTATAAGATCAGTTCTGCTATAATGCTTGTTTCAAAAACAAAAATTTGTTCCAATGTAAGGAACATAAGGAAGGAACATAAGGAAACATAATTCAAACTACAAATTTGTTTCTGCACAATTTTTTCTTTGAAAAATAGTGAGAAGGCAGAAAATTGCGTAACTTCATAATAGCTCATAAGCTACAGCCCTTCTAAAGCCCACTTCCAAAAGCAAATTTTAGGTCTTTGTCAAGATAAAGTGCTGTATTTATTGCATGTCTCTTGAGACAGTAGGAACTGTGGATTCTAAGCCACCCCTCATACTGGCCTAAACCTACCCTCATCCTTGTTCTGCTATGGTCTTCAGTTGCAATTCAAGACTTTGCTAGCCCATCACTATGGGAAACAGGGTATACACAGAGCCTACAGGGCAGCAGTCTAAGATTGTGGATGTTGCCAATATTTATTGTAGTATTTATGCATTTCTTAAACATTTAACATATTATACTATTTTATTAGTTTCCTGGCTTTTTTAATGTCACTCAAGAAGTTTTTGAAAGTTTTTTCCACTACCTTCTTATTGTCATCATTTATTAAACAAATATTAGAGTATTTATGTGCACTAGGTACTAGTGACTTAAAAAAAAACAACTTAATCAGCAATTGTATCTTCAATTGTTCATTCTTAAATTGAGAAAATGTGTTCCACTGGAGTTGTTATTAATGATTCATGTATGACCATGTCCTCCTTTTTTAGCAGTATTTGCAAGATGTTAGTATCCCATTTTCAGTAAAAACTATGCCCAAGTTCAACTGAAAATATTGACAAGAAGAATGAGTTAGAAATGTTCATTATTCTGTTCTGTTTTTTATTTTGTTTTGTTTATGATAGCTTCAAATTAGCTGATATGTAGTTATTTCCTAAGTTCCACTCAGTATTGTTACTACTAACAAATTATTGCTGATATGCTGCCACAAGTATAAGGTAATTAACAGTGATAAACCGTCTTCTATTAAGACATTTTGGAGTTTAATTTATAATATATGACACTCATATAATCTTAAAGTTTTTTGCAATTTAAATTTCATATCCTTAAAATATTTTAAGTTTATTTATAGACACTGCTCATGGGGGAAGTGATTCACTTTTGTGAAAGTCTTCCAAGAATCCCTCCAGTCAAATCTTTTAATTTGGGAGTCTTGATTGACAAGCTTATTACTAATACATAAAATTTTATACTTGGAGTGGACCTTAAGAGTTAAAATTCATGAATGAATGAATGAAAACGTTTATTAAGCCCTTATTATGTATACCAAGCACTGTGCTAAGATGGAGCCACAAACACAAAGTGGAAGATCCTTCTGTCAGAGAGTTTATATTCTTATGGGGTGGTGTCTAGGGAAGGGCACTTTGATTGGCAAATTACAGGGATGGTACATTGGACCAGTAGTAGATTGTTGGTGTGATCACAGTTCATGGTTAATCATTTTATAGATGTAAATACTTAAGGCCTGTAGAAGGCCAATGCTTGCCCAAGGCCACACGTCAAGGACTAGTTAGTGAAGAGCTGGCCCTAGAAGCCAGCTTCCCTGACTTTTCAGCGCAGCAGTCTTTCCACTCTTTCCACAATTGTATGGTGTCTCTTAGATGTACTAACTCTAGTCATTTTTTTTCCTTGCATGTATATGAAATGACAAGGGTTTGTTTTAATTAATACATTGCTTTTTAACCTGTTAGCTTCCTTTGGTAAATGTAGTAAATGAGTGGGCATTTGGTTGTTAAACAATCCTCAATAAAAACCAGACCTTTTTCCTACTTGAAAGAAAATCTTAGCTTTTTCAAATAGGTATGAAGAAATAATGTTTATTATTAGGCAATACTAGCCATAGTTTCTAGGATATAAAATGAAGGCATTAGAGTTTTTATTCTGCAAGAGGAAGAGAGATAATCACAAATTATTTTTCAGCCTGTGTATCTACTTGGGAGTTGCTGAACCGATAAAAAGTTTTTTACTTGGGCACGTCATGCTTTACCTCAAAGCACTACTGCTTCTCATTGTAACATGGGTCAGGTCAAAGTATCTGGCAGTACCTTTCTCTCTCATTCATGTATCTTCACAGTCAAGTTGGCCCTTTCCCATCTAAAAATGTTCTCCTTTCCAAGAAACCTGCCACAAAGTTTCTGATCCTGGTGTTGTTTTTGCCCCACTTTTTCTCCTTTCCCTTAAAATCTCTTTTTTGTTCCTATTGGGTTGTAAATAATTTTTGTCCTTAGATGTTTGTCTGTCTTTGATCTTAAACTTTTCGAGGCAGGACCCAAGTTCATTCATTGTCTGTAAATCCACCTTGTTTCTTCTTGTCCCAAGGTGATAGTGAGAAATGGGACTCATTCATATGAAGAACTGGGATAATCCTCATCTTAGAGCAGGGTTGTTAGAATCTAGAATTAGACCACTGAATCTCTACCCTCAAACTGATAACTATTCAAAAATGTATATTTTTTTCATTATCCTGCTATCATTTTTTTTAAAGTGCAAAAACAAAACAAACAAACAAAAACCTGGTAAGAATGGTGTATGTGTAGGCTAAGGAATTGAAGCATGGCATCAAAAGGAGGAAAATTTACTTTTCCCCCCCTCTATTTCTCAGTGATATTTTGAGCAGGGACAAGCATAGTAGAGTAAACTCAAAACTTTAATACTGTCTCTGGAATTTAATATTAGTAAATTCTGCTGAAGGGAGGAAATTTTGATTGTGAAACTTTACCTCTGCTACCAGTTGCTGTTTTGTGTGATTCCTTATCATTCTTTAATGAGACAGTTTTACACATTGTCTCATGAAGGAACAGTGACAAGAAGTCACACAGCAACTAATGAGAGTAAAGTGTTTTCACTACAATTTTCCATGTTTTCTTCTGCTATAGATTGTAAGTTCCTTGAGGGTAGGGACTGATTGATTTTTGACTTTGTGTCCCCAGTGCCTGGAACAAAGTACAGCACTTCATAAATGCTAGTTTTTTTTATTTGTAAGGGGAGGTGAGAATCTGAAAGACTGATTGAGGGTGGCAAAGATGGCAATAGACCAGGGCACAGGCTTTGTTCAATTTGTTTTTGTAGTACCACTTCAGAGCACTTTGTAGGAAAGAATTTGGCAGTCCTAAAAGAACTACAGAAATATGAGTACTTGGTGGCATTTTTGTGGAAAGTTTGAGCTCCTAGCCACTGAAAGAAAATGTTTAAGTAGAGGCTTGATTGGGTGACCATTTCTCATGAATGTTATAAAAGAGAATCCTGAACTGAGACGGTTTGACAAGGTCACCCCTGAGTAATACAACTAGGGCTCAGACTTCAACAGGCCAAGAAATGTTCTGAATTTATGGACAGGCATACAGTGACATGTGTGTGATGCTTTGGATAATTTTTTTTATCTTCTCTCTCTACTTGAACTCTCTGTTACTGGTACCTCCCTCACTCCTAAAATTACCTTGTATTAATTTTTCATATATTTATATGTATATGTTGTTAATATAACTTGTTAATGTAGTTTGCTAATTAAACTCCTTGAGAGGAGAAGCTTTGATTTCTCTTTTTCATATCCCCAGGTACTAGCGCAATGCCTAGCATATAGTAGATATATAATGTGTGCTGGTTGATCCACTGTGTCCCTGTGCCTGGGGATTTAGTAGGTACTTAATAAATGTTTGTTGATAAGATACCTAAGAATAAAGATGATAATTCATGAGAGAAATCAGTATTTTTAATTAGAGGAAAAAGCACAGACTTAAATATATAGTCCTTAAGAAAAGAATTGACCACAAAATTTTTAAAAGATTGATTTTAATGTGAGTTACAGTTTTCTAATTTTCATCTCTTGACTTGGTTCTTAAGTGGATAATAGCTTCTGGAATATTGTGTATTACAAATCCTAATTAGTGTTGATATTTCCCTATAATGATGCCTTTTTTTCTCTCTTTAAATAGCATCCTGGTGGAGAAGAAGTTCTCAGGGAGCAAGCTGGAGGGGATGCAACTGAAAACTTTGAGGATGTTGGGCATTCTACAGATGCCAGAGAATTATCCAAGACATATATCATTGGAGAACTTCATCCAGTGAGTATATCCTAAAAAGCCTCATGTGCTAGTTCTTTTCAAGGCTAACATTTGATCTTAGATCACATTTTCTGTCCAGTGGGTTACATATATAAACAGCAAGTGTCCCTCCCCCCAAAAAAGATAAGACAAAATAATTGGCTTTATAAGCCATAGGTTTCCTGTATTACCCCCCACTTTCCTTCACCCCCCCTCAGGAAATAATGTCCTATGCTTGTTTTTGTGTTTTACTGGTCACACTTTGGAACATTTGAGGCTAGCATGGTCTACTCAACAGGTGCTTGCTGACGTCTGGCATGACCATAAACTTGGCCACATTAGGAAAATAAGTGTTACAGAAGTCATGTATTAATAACCACTTAACCACTTTACTCATTGGAGAACTCACAGACCATTGATCTGTATTTATAGACTGTTCCTAACTTAGGAAATGGTTTTGATCCAAAATTCTGTATAATTTGATTGTTTGGAATCAATCATGCATTTTCCTAAAGGAGAAATAATTTACATGGTGACTAGGTTATAAGGCCATTCTATTAAAAACAAACAAACAAAACCATTTAACTTATAATGTACCTATGCCAATAGTACATTGGAACCTACCTACCATGTACAATGTTATTTCTTTGGGAAAACAGTCAGACTTCCAAATTGCTATATCACAAAAACTTTCTCCCCACCTTTGCAACAGAATCAGGAATTCCTCTGCTTCATCACCTTCTAGGTAGTAGTAATGAGAACTTCTTCAGTTTCAGGCCATCTAGCAACAGTGTTCAGGATGGGATGTCTTGGAGGCAACTGAGATTAGATTTAGGGGGGCTAGTTAGAAGGTTACTACAGCAGTCCACTGGAGAGGAAATGAAGACCTAAATTTGAGTAATGGCACTGGTAATAGAAATTAAAAGATGATTCTGAAAGGAAGAAATTAGGGAAGTAGAATTGAGAGGACTTGAAAGGGGGAGGGTAAAGGTAGAGTTAAAAATGTTGGAAATTGGGCAAATTAAAGACTAGCAGAAGTGGTGCCATAAGCAACAATAGAGCATGCACTTTGAATAAGCTGAAATGTTTAAGCATTTTTGGTGTACCTTTTGAAGGCTGTAAGAAATTCATCTTGATGGTCACAGTAGGATTAGCTCCTATCTTGGAGGAAGAGGTTGGGAGGAGAGGGAAAGATCTATTCAAGCCTTTTAAGATTCCTTGAGATTGTAGGAAAGAATAGGGGGAAGGAGGTACAGGCATCTCTCTCATGGGTTATTACATTGACCAACATTTACACTTTATGTCGTATACCTGTAATTAGACAGTTTTCCCCCAGCATTTAATCTCGTTTAAATAATTTTTGCTGTTAAGCTGAATTTGTGAAGCCAGGTCATATCTGGTCAGACACCTAAGTTATTGTTGTTAAGATCTCAAAATAAAGACTGAACATTTTAGAAATAGTGCTTTATAGTCCCCACTCTCATCTTAATGGTGCTGAATTCTTTTTTTTTTTTTTTTTGCAGGATGACAGATGCAAAATAACTAAACCTTCAGTAAGTGCCAGACTGTCCTGTACACTTTGTCCTGTTGGAAACTCATTGTTAAGTGTGTGTTGCATGTTCCAAAATGCAAGCATTACTTGCTTAATATCAAGCAAGTTGTTTCACTTGCTTAATTTACACCAGTCAGCTTACCAGATACTTTTTCCTTTTAAAGTGAAATTACATATTTGTCAGGCAGGTTGGGACCAAGCATGAGAGATATCTTAGTGTTGCTAAGTGTCTAGGAAAGCCTTCTGCACTTTAGACAAAGACAACTTCACATTTCAAACATTTTCAACAGGACCTGTGATTACCCTGATAGGAGGAAACTCCTTTAACCAGTTCAGATCTGTACCCACTCTGCAGGTTAAGCATTAAATGCTTTTATAATGATTATTAACACCTGTTCATTGAACACTGTGTCCAGTCTGGTAAATTTCTCTGAGTTACTGGAATTGAGCCAAATCATAACCCTCTCCATTAACTAGTCAAATCAAGTTCTTTATTCAGTGGAAAGATACAAAGTAGGAACAGCAGCTCATGTTAGTCATATAGACACTGCTGAGTCACAGAATTCTCAACCTCTGGAATACTCAACAGCTTGGATGTCATCAGAGCTTCATCAACTAGTAATAGGCCAGGCCCAGTTCAGGACCTACTGCCCTGTGTGAAGCAACCTAACGGGATTGCAAGAGCTGGCTTTTATCTAGCTCTGTATGTCTGAGTCAACACAAATCATATACTCAGCATCAAGGAATGACCTGGTGAGAATCAGGCCCTATAGTGTGACCAATTGTGGGCACATATTAAGGCCACAACAAAGAAATTGAACTAGGTAGCTCAGTGGATAGAACATTAAGCCTGAAGTCAGGAAGACCTGTCTGCCTCAGACACTTAACTAGCTGTGTGATCCTGGATAAGTCACTCACTCTGTCTTTGCCTTTGGTTCCTCATCTGTAAAATGAGTATAGCAGTTCCCTCTGGGGTTGTTGTGAGGATCAAATGAGATAATAATTGTTAAACACTTGGCACAATGCCTAGCCCAGAGTAAGTGCTATATAAATATTAGCTGCTATTATTATCATTGTTATTATCTAATTAAAGTTGAATGGAGGAGTATCTGGGTTGTGCAAACATAGGAAGAAAACTTTAAGGAACAAGGTGTAGGATAAGGTGTAAGAATAATTTAATCATGAAATAAGGACAACTTGTTGAAAGCAAATTCTATGGTAGCCTGTGCTACCTTTGCTTTGCACCACCAATCAAGGAATGGTGTGGACAGTGGATGGGAAGGGCCACTTTTGGATATTGTGGCCAGGAAAAGCTTCAAAAACAAGAATTCAGGTAGACCTTGGATAACAAGTGGGACCCACGTGACTAAAGAAGAGGTGAGGGGAGGAGGTGGGTATCACAGGTCAGGGAAACAGGAAGAATGAGGTTTGTGCTTGCATAAACATCACAGGATTTCAGAGTTAGAAGGAAAAAGACCTCAGAGATTAGAGTCCAATGCATATTTGAGAAAGAATCTCTTTTGCAAGGCATAGAAACATTACCCTCCAGCCTTTACTCAGAGATGCATTAGAGACAAGAAACCCACAATCTCCCAAGGCAGCCCTTTCTACTTTTGGATAACTCTAACATCAGACCTAAATTTGCTTCTTTGTAATTTCCATCCATTATTTCTGGTTCTGACTTCTTGGGCCAAACAGAAGAGATTTGTTACCTTTTCCACGTAACAGCCTTTCAAGTGCTTAAAGACAACTGACATGTCCTCTTTTTTTTTTTTTGGCAAGGCAGTGGGGTTAAGTGACTTGCCCAGGGGTCATACAGCTATGAAGTGTCAAGTGTCTGAGACTGGACTTGAACTCAGCTCCTGACTAAAGGACTGGTGCTTTATCCACTGTGTCATGTAGCTGCCCCATCATGTCCTTTTGAGCTTTAAAACCTGTAGGCTAAACATTCCCAGGGCCTTCATCCAATCTTCATGGCATGGACCCAAGATCTTTTACAACAAACCTATTTGCCTCCTGGATGCTCCCCACTTTGTCAGTGTCCTTCATAAAATGGGATTGCTACTTCTTGGCATAGAGGTTGGCCTTTTTCTCTCTGAGCATGTAACTTCCTGTTCAGGACCTTTCTTTCCTGTTCCCCAGGTGTGTGACTTAAGAGTACCTCAAATGTCTCATGAATGGCACAGGATCACTTCATATGAGAAGAATGGTAGCCCTCCTCCCAGGAATAACTTGCCACAATTTTCCCTGTTCCTCTATCCTCCATATCAGTGTAAAGAGCACCCTAGACAGACCTATCTATTTTGGTAAATAATCTGGACCTATTCAAGTCAGAAAGTGCAAGCTTTTGAAATCTAGTTTTATTCCTGACTACTTTGCCAAATAACTACTCTTTTCTCTAACCAGAGGAGAAGGAAAAAGTATGGAAGTCAAGGAATTCAAACACAGTTAAGGAATTTCTTTTTCCTTTCTCCCTAGATACATAAACACAAACTCCATAATTCTGGAAGGTGATTTGGCCAAACAGGCAACTCACTGAGGAAAAACTAGTCAAAACAACACAGTTTTTTTAATTTAGGAAAGCATTGTTCAGTCACAAGTGAAGACCGTCCTGGATATTTACCTCGTTGCAGGTAGAAAAATTGGATTAGGCAATGTGTACCTAGCATTCTGTTCCAAAATAAACCATTATGCTAGAAAGAAAAAAAAATTTGAATGTTGAAAATTTTTCATTTAGAAACTTCTGACTCATTTGGCAGCCTTATGCCCTCAAATTTACACTAATATTTTAAAATCATGGGGAGGATCCTCCTCCATAGGGAGGTTTTGGTAAAAACAGGATATAATCAGCTATAATAATAGCTAGTTAGAGAAGATATAAATAAGAAAAATATTGCCTTTTCTTTAGTTAGACTATAAGGGTCTGAGAGGCCCCAGGAGGTGTTTTATTTTTCTTTTCGTTAGGTCATAGTTCATTTCTTTGGTTTTCTTAAAGTAACATCACTATAGTGGGCTTACTGTGTTAAGAATTGTGTTAAGAACCTTCATTAAACTATTAACAGAATTGAGGCAGTTATTCTAATAATTCTGGACAAAACAAAACATGCTAATATGAACTACAGAAAGTAGATGAAATGTCAACACCACAAACCCTGGAGCTTCATTGTTCGATCCAAAGCGAATTTGGTTATAAAAAATTACTTTCTCTGAAGCATTCCATAAGTATAGGGGGTAGGGACTTCTCAATAGGGAATCACAACTTCACATAACTTATGTGAAAACTAGATTTATTACAAGAGAAAGGAACATGTGTGTGGAACCCAAAGAGTTCGCCATCCATATAGAAGTTTGCATATTTATAACAGAGCAAAGGAAGGAGAAAACAAATTTCCACCTAAAGGGGTGTGGCATGGGAAGGGGGGAAGGGGGAAAGGTGCAAATGTGGGAAAAGGACAAAACTCCTCCTGAGGGGGAGGAGCAAGGTGAAGGCAAAAGCCACATTCTTTTCACTGCTGGAAAACTGCTGGACTCTGAAGATAGAATGGTCTGTTTATCTACAAGGGTTCCAGCTGTACAAGCAATTTCCCAGTCTAGTGCAGGCTGCTACCTTTCTTGACACATAAGGAGTCCACTTTGGGATACAAACAACAAATTATATCATCGGGGCGGGGGTGGACTTTGTCCTTGACACATTCAGCACCTGCACCTCCTGTATACTCTGAGGCCTGTGTTTCTAGAAAATATGGCAACTCAAAAAGACAAATTTAGAGGACCCCTTAACATTCCTCAACAGACTGAACCTGTGATTTCATGCAATGCATGAAGGTTGGTACCTTCTCTGCAACTTAGAGCAGCTTAGGGCACTGGGGTTAAGTGGTTTGTCAAGGGTCACTTGGCCAGTTTGTATTAGAGGCAAGACTTGAACCCAAGACTTTTTGAAGACTGGAGAGAAACATTTATTAAGTGTCTAGCATATTCTGTGCCATGCACAGTACTAACATATCTCATTTGATCTTCACAACACCCTTGTGAAATAGATGCTATTATTGTTCCCATGTTACATTTGAGGAAGCTCAGGCAGAGAGAAGTTAAATGACTTGCCCAGCATCACATAGCTAGTAAGGGTCTTAGGCTGAATTTGAACTCAGGTCTTCCTGAATCCAGGCCCAATGTTATCCACTGCAACCCTGAGCTTCTAGGCCGTTTCTTATCTTACTATGCCATGCTGCCTCTCATAGGCATACATTAACTATGCAGAAAATGTCTGATCATATCACAAACCAGGAACCAATAGGTGAGTATTCTTGGCAAGCTACGATGGCCTTTACTTTAACTTTCAGCACTTTTAATTTTTTTTTTAAGAGTAAAGATGATCAGATTTTGAGTTTCTCTGACATATGAGGAGAATAACTTGGTAGTTTTTTTTTTATGTTAGTGGCCTTAAGTACACAACAAGAAAGGAAAAATAACTTTTTGTTGGTATTTCTTGTGTTTTTATTATCTAAAAGACAAGAGCGGTCCATTACTAGCTAAAAAAAGAAATTACTGTTAATGAGCAACTGCAAGCTGCTTGTTTAAGATATCAAGAAGAGCTGTGAAATTAGCTGAACCTGCTGTAATGAGTACATGAGGAGAAATGACCACATCATACTGTTTTTTCTTATCTTAACCAGGATTTGAATTTTATTTATAATTCCTAATGTACATAGCACTTTAAACCCTGTGAAGTTGGTAGAATATTATCTCTATTTTACAGATGAAGAAACAAAATCAGAGAGGTTATAACTTGTTTAGAGTTGCACAGCTAGTCATTGTGGAAGCCAGATTCCAATCCGGCTGTTCTGGCCCAACACAGAGCTGCTTGTTTGTTTGTTTGTTTTAACTACACCACAGATCCTCTTATTGATGCTAAGTAAACATGAAGACATAGAAGTTTTGCCTATGTAGATAGGCAAATGGTAGCACCTTATATTTTTAATAGTGCTTTATAGTTTCAAAGCATTTTCACATCCCCTGTCTTTTAATTTTCAGTAGTCATTCTGTGAAGTAGAGAGGGCAAATATTTGTATTCCCATTTGATAGATGAAGAAGCTGAATCTGAAGACTTGTTGTTTAAGATAACATGACTCATAAGTGGTAGGGTGAGAACTTGAACCCAGATACTTCTGGCTCTCAGCCCAGTGTAGTTTCTACCATAACATACTACCCTTTTTTGACTTCTTGTTTGGGCAGTTATCACAGGGTTGAAATGAGAAGAACTTTGGGTATCATCTAATCCAAACTCCTCATCTGGAGGAGGAAATAGTTCCAAAGAGGTGAGTGCCTTGCCTGAGAATTAATGGCAAAGACAGTATTAGAACCTAGATCCTCGGAATCCAAATTCAGAGTGCTCTCCACTGGACATCAGTATGTCTGCCAGTATTAGTCTAAAGATGGAAACAAGCCAACTGCAGTGATGTTTCTGATAAGGTAAAGTAGGATGGGCCACAGTATGGATTGGAACATCTGGGTGGGAGGCCTTTGCACTTCTTTCCTTTTATATTTTTGTGTGAGTTAATTTAATTTTTTCAGACTCCTTATAGACATGGAAATGGTTTTCAGTAAACTGGTTGAGGTTGCATAGTGAGTTGGTGGCAGATCTTGAAGTAGAGATCATTTCCTTAACCTTTTCTGCTGCCATTTTTCACAGCTCTAAATCCTGGGTTTTTAAGCAATGCTCGGGAAATCAAAGTCTATGATAATTTAGAGGGCTTTTGAGCTTGAGCTCTTTGAGGTATAGGTACCTAGCACAGTTGAGGTAAAGGTGCTTCTGAATGAACCCTTAGTAACAGTTTGTTGATTGATTTTGAAATTGGGTTAGGATGTTCTTAGAAAAATATTCTAGCAAGGTTTAATAATTGACTTTATGGAAAGTCAGGAGAATTCAGTTTGGTTTAGCAAACAAGGCAGTGCGCTATGCCATGGAGAGTCAAAGACAAAAATAAGGAGTGCTTGATGCCAAGGAGCTTATGAACTGCTGGATGGGTGGGAGCCTAGTTTCCCGAATGAATCATCAGCATGTTTTTTGTATAAGTGTGTTTGTATGGTGTAATATCATAAACCTTACTAATTCTTTTAGAGAACGTCTGAAGCAGAACTGATTAACAAGTACGTTCAATGTGTAACGTATTTTCTGTTTTTGCTGCCTTTTAGTTACTCATTTAAAACACAACTTCCTAATGTCAGGCTTGCCTGTACTATCCTAATCATAGTCTCTGCTCAGCAATTTCAAGTTTCATAGTGAACAAGACCAGGGTTGAAGAATGTGGAGCCCTTGGGGATAGAGGGGGTGGTAGAGGAGAGCAACCAAACAAGTTGAAATAAGTCATCAACTTGTCCTCCCTTCTGCATCTCACCTCCATTCCCATACAATACAAACAATAGCTTTATTAAGGTTGGAGTTATCTAAGTCTAGGCGCATCAACCTTGGAAGTTTCTGCTATTTCTATTAACTTTTTTAATAACTTTTTTTTTCAAATGTAGTTATGTGATACCAATGATCAAGGTAGAAGTCTTAATGTGAAGCTTTCTTTAAAATTGCCTTATTTCTTTTCACTGTGTCAGGAATCTTAAAGGAGCTCTTAAAGGTTGGTGGGACTAAACTGCTTGGCTTGCTCCTCCTGGAAAGGTTTCTTTTTGCTTTTCCTTTGAAAAAGGACTCTTTCACTTCCACTGCAGTGTGGCTTTGTTACTATCTAACAGTCGATTTTTAAGCCAGTGTCCTGTGCTGTAGGTTGTGGCATTGCAAAGAAAACGGATATTGAAGCCATTTAAGCTTTGCTTTATCTTGGTTCCTCCTTGAAGGCACTACTAATACTTGTGTTTGTGTGAGCTGACAGCTGCTATTTAGCCAATTGCTAATTGTTGGAGTGATTTGTGCTTAAACTTGTAGAGCTATTATCTGTGTTTTATCTTCTCTGTGACTTTTATGAGCTCCTTTCACTGATTAACTTCAGAGTCCCAGAGGCAAAACTGGCTACTGTGGTAACAGATTAAAATATCTACATCATACTGATTTGAAGATTCTCTTTGGAATATTCGCATTGGGGCATTATAGAAAGAAAATGGGTTGCGAAATAAACCATTTTATATAACCAGCTAATATCTGACTCTTATGGTTAAGCATAAAGGTGAGTCTTAGAGTGATAGAGGTTTGAAAAAAGTAAAAGTTCTAATCACTTTTCCTGGTTGGAATGACTTTTGATGAAATTTGAGTGCTCTATTTTCTTAAGATTGCAGCCTTTACCATTATTTTGCCAGTTGAAAGATGTTTATCAAACACTTTGCTTGTACTTAACGGGGAATCTTCTTGTTTGTACTTATGATCATTGCAAAAGGCATTGTCCATGTTCAGTTGTTGCACTGGGCAGTTGAAGAAATTATTCTAATTCAGAATATTTTTCATGTTTTCTTTCAAATTGTTTAATATAAGCATAGGTAAGTATAAATGACATTAAATAAATTGTCCGCAGACAAAATAGGGAAAATAGGGCATGATAATCATAAGTGAGTAGGGATGTAATATTTTTGTATGAAAAGAAGTTATTGCTGAAATTGTATGTTTATCTTATTGATCTCTTGAAGAACTGAGTAAAATGTTCTTGCTTCATAAAAAAAGTTTTTTTAAATACTATGGATTGCACAATGTTTTGATTTTCTTTTTAACTGTGTCTTTATCTTTGTTTTCCAGGATACTCTTATAAGTACCATTGATAATAACAGCAGGTATGAAATAAATTTTCTTTCAAAATCTTATCTTTGGCCTGGAAGGGGGCTTGAAAGGTTTTGTAGTCCATATCCCTGCCTTTTAAGCAATACTGCTCCTAACATGAGCATCTAACTAAATAAGCAACCAAAGAAATCCCAGCAAACTCCACCCAAAGGAAAAGTATACCAGTAATCCGCTTGATTATTATCCTGTGATTGTCAAGCTTTATTTTAGGAGTGAGATGATGTGTAAAGAATGTTGCTGTATGTAATTTTTTTTGACATGAAAATATATGCACATATGAACTTGTATTAGGTTTTTTAAAAAAATCTACATTCAGGTTCTTATTTGCCTGAGCAAGAGTGGCTTAGGCACAAAATCACATTAAATATGTGATTTTCATATATCCCAGGTCTAGCATTCATTTATCTGTGATCCTGTGTTACTTAGTCTAAATTTGAAACTAAGCGCTACATGATTTTAGAATCTTTATGTGTTTTACCCACACAGGCTAGAGAGATGATCTGGACATAGTATTACCCAGGCAGTATGTCCAAGGGAAGATACATACTCAGAAAATTTATAAAACTGTCTCTACTGGGTAGATGTTGTAAATGTATAATTTATAGCTCATGGAGTGTTTAAATTGAAGAAGTACTTAATAAATACTTAATATGTGCGTGGGATTGGTTTGGGAGTCAGAGACAGAAAGACAAAAACAAAAAGAGAGAACTCCCTTCTTTCAAGGAACTGCAATTTGGTGAGGTGGGATACAGTATATAAATAGTTAAATATCAAAATGAGATAATTTGAAGAGGGAGAGGCTACTATTTATGTGGAGTGGCACATGGCCTGAGCCTTGAAGGGAGCTAAGTATTTTTAGAGGAGGTAGAAGTGAGTAGAAAAGGAACTGAAGGCCTATGCAATCACAGGGAGCCAGCCAGGAAAGAGTGGTGGCAGAGGGAAGCAAGTAGGTAAGTTTAACTGCAACATGTAGAGTCCATGAAGGGAATAGTATGCAGTAAGCCTTAAAAGATAAGCTGGGGCCAAATGCCAAGCTAAGAGGTTTGTATTTTATCCTGGAGAGAATAAGATATTCTTAAGCAGTCACAGGTGAGAGGTGATAAGGACCTGGACTTGGGTAGTGACTAGGATGGAGAGAAAGGGCCAGTTGTGAGAGAAGTGGACACAGAATTGACAAGACTTGGCAACTAGTGAGCTTACAGAGTGTAAAGGAGAATGAAGGGCCAAGATTTCAAATCTGGGTGACTGAGAGGATAGTAGTTTGGAGGAAATTAAGTTTAGATGAGGGAAGATAAAATCTGTTTTGGGTATGTTGACTTTGTGATGCCTTCAGGACGTCTCCATGGAAAAGTCCGACAAACAGTTGGCAATGTAAGGCTGGAACTCAAGAGAGATATTATGGTTGACTATGTAGATTTTGGAGCTATCTGCATAGAAATGTTGGTTGAACACGTGGGAATTCACTGAGTGAGTAAGAAAATAGGGTCCAGGACAGTAGCGTGAGAGATACTCTCTAGTTAGGGACCAGGAGATAATGGTCAAAAAAAGGAGTCTGAGGAAGTATGGATAGACAATTAGGAGAACCCGTAGGGGGCAGGGTTATGAAAGCAGAAGGGAAGGAGGGGCAGTTGTCAGCAGGATCAGAAGCTATAGAGAGTCCATATAAGATGAGGACTTGAGAAAACAGTAATTTAATTTAACAGCTATAATTCATTGGTTACCTCAAAGAGAGAAGCTCTGATGGTAGAATCCATCTCGACCAACCCATTTACTTTTATTTTTCAATTGAAGAAACTGAAGGCCAGAGGGCCAGAGAAGTGATCCTTGCCCAAGCAAGGTTAGTTTAACACAGCTAGTTAGTTTAATTTAAACTCACAGTTAAATTTAACAGTTAATTTTTAACTGGAATTTACTACTTGAGCCTCCTAACTCTAGTCAAGTGCTCTTTTCCCTGTGTTCATGTTCAGGCCATGTAGAATTTAATGACCATTTACTGTTGCTGTTGTATAGCGTTTTGCCTAGGGTTCGTAATCTGTCATTACCTAAGAATTATATTTTTAAAATATAGCAAGGGAGTTCATAAGTAGCATTGACAAACCCTTATTACAAAGTGTATATAAATTTTCTTTCTAAAGATGCCAGTAGTGTCATTGGCGACTTATCAGGCTAGTGGGTGTAACTTTTTTTGGGGGTGGGGCAGAGCATTAATGCTGGTCCCAGTTCTACATGTGTTCTTTTTTGCAGTTGGTGTCTTAGGCTCAGACAGAGAGAAAAAGATGTCCTGGTGAATTATTGTTAACTGGAACAAATCATTTTTATTTACATGTATCTGACGTCATGCAATATGTTTGAAACGTTTTCTCACTGTTTCCTTCTAGTTGGTGGACCAGTTGGGTGATCCCAGCAATCTCTGCACTTGTTGTGGCCTTGATGTATCGATTCTACATGTCAGAGTACTAATCACATTTTTTAAAAAGCCAATAAGAGAAGAGACTGACTTAAACCAGGATATAAAGAAGCCAGTTGTCATTGTCCACTTTGCCTGACAGAAACCAACTTCATTTGCAAAGAGAACTTTAAAGTATCCATTTCCCACCCCTCCACCTCCTGACATCCAAAAAGTAAACTATCCTTCTGTACACTTTTCTATAGGGTGTGCCTTTTCATTCAAATTATTTTTAAAGTTTAGTTTCTCTTCTTGATGCTTTATCACTACTTTATTCTTTGTGTAACAAAAACAGCTGCTATAATTATTGTATAATCTTTACAGTTTTCTGCATCTATTTGTGTTTGTACAAATCAGTCTTTGATGCTCAGAAGCCTTTAAAATAAGCCCTTCAGTAGACTACTTATTTAGACCCAAGCAATCAGTGCTAAATGCTTGGCTCTAAGGAAGTTTTTGGCTTCTGTCTACTAGGATATTATCTCTAATAGAATTACCCATTGTGGCACTTTTTTCAAATCAGTTTCCTTTTCAGGAAGTCAAGAAGCCCAATGGTCATAATTTGAATGCTTCTAATAACTGTTCTATTATAGATAATGGTAAGAAGGGGAAATGTCCAGAAGAAACTGACATTGATCAAGGAATAGATTATATCTACTCATAAAATGAGGCCTGTCCCTCCCTCCCCAATTCTCAGCCTAGAATTAACCCTCTAGTTGCTGGAGGCAAAGAGTGAGGAGGAATCTTCTTTTGAGGATTGCTGTTTGGAAGACCTTGTTGGCACTCCTTTTAGGAGGGCTGCTGTTTCAAACTTTTAAGGAGGACTAAAAGGTGTCCTTTGTGATGTTTGGATACTTGTTTGTCTTAAGTAACTCACTGCCAACTAATGAATGATAAATTATGTTCATACACGTGGGTCCATCCCCCCCTCCCCCATTGGGAACCCTTCTGACTTCTTCCATTGTGTGTGTAGTCTTTATTCTCTGGCCTTCTGGAAAAGTTAGTTGTTTGATGACATAGTAGAGGAGTGAATCTGTTTAAAATGTAAGCTGTCATAATGAACTGTGATCATGCATTTTCCCCTTGATATATTAATCAAGCAGCATGTACATGAAAAACCACTAATACACATTAAAAAGGCTGATTTTTTTCCTCAAAAAAATTCTGTTGATATCAATTGTATAATCATTGTTACGTTTACCATCCTAAGTCTCTCACTTAAAACACACACACACACACACACAGAGTGCATAATCAGGGCCTAAGGTTAAGGAGAAAGGCTCACTGTTTTATCTGTAACTGAAAATGACACTTAGGTTGAAAGTGGGTAGGGAGAGGTGGGAAATGACGAGCTATGGTGCCAGAAATACAAAATTATGTTGGAGAAACATTTTTTGTTAAAATTCTGAATAAACATGAGTCTGAAACAAAATGATACGTTGTTACAGTGGATTTTAAATGGGGTGCTTTGGTAAATGACATGTATGGTTTTTGTGAATGCAGAGCTGTTAAAAATTAGGAAGGTTCTGAACCAAAAATTGGATTGAATTTAATGTTTGTCACCAGCTATTTCTAAAACCTGTTTCTTGAGCTCTTCAGTCTCTGTTGTGCAGGAAATTCTTAACCTTTTAGTGTGTCCTGAACCTCTTTGGGGAATTTGATGAACCTATGGGCTCCTCACAATCATGTTTGTAAATGCAAGAAATAAAAAAAATGTAGGATTTTAAAAAACCCAATTACGTTGAAATATGATTATAAAAATATTTTTGAAAACAAGTCTAAAGACCTTAGGTTAACCTTTGCTTTAGTGAGATTTTATTTCAGAGTTTTCCAATAGACAATTATACATCTGTTCTTTGAGGTGCATCTCTGAGGCAACGCCCATTCAGAGATTAAGGATAGGTAAAGAAAAAAAAATGATTCTCAACTCTTTTTCTCTAGCTCTGACCTCTCTTTTCCTTTCCAGACCCACAGTCTACTGGATTTCACCTAAATGCCCCCCTTTTTTAAACCAATAAAACAATTCATCCTAATGCCTATATATGATTGACATCATTCTTCTAGTCACACAAGTTAACTTTGGAGCAGTCCACAAATAACCTATCAATAATACATGTTTTCCCCAGCAGAATACATTTTTGTCTTCATAGGCTCATTACCTTCCCCCTAATAAGTTCTGATACTGATAGTATGTTGCTAGGCTATCAATAAACATTTATAATCAGTCTTTCTCCAGAGTGTCTCACATAAATAGTCTTTTCCAGTCCTGCTTTGCTACTTAATAATGCTTCTCAATGAGACTTTTACAAAAGACTTTTCCCCGTCCATCCTGCTTAAAGGTACCAGAGCAATGTTTTTGCTATATAGCATTGCTTGGGGCATTTTCCTACTCAAAATCCAGGGCTTCTGGTTATTATTCACAGAATAATGTTCAAACTTCCATTTACAAAAAGTCATACTCTAGCCAAACTAAACTGTTTACCAAGCTGTCCCTCACTCTGTGCTTTGATTTATTCCTTATACTATCATGTCCACCCTAACTCTTATCTTGAATGAAATTCAACAAAAGTAGACTGAGGCACGTATTCTCTGAGCAAGATAACAGTTTACTAGCAGGGCATAGACCTGATAATAAAATGATTCTAATGACTGCCTCAGTGAGCCAAAGACCCTGAGTGAAAGGACAGCTCCCCTTTTATAGTTTTGGGGCGGTACAGAACAAAAAACAGGACTTCCTAGGTGGGGAAAGAATATAATTGGTTACAGGATTGGCAGCATCATAGGGGTAAGGACAACATGACTGGTTACGGAGTTGAAGCATGCGGGACAATATGATCGGTTTGAAACTGGGAATGAGGATCTAGCAACCACCCCCTTCCCATGACTAAGAAAAGTTCATTGAGTCCATTTGTAAGGTTAGAGATAGTGGGCAGATTTCTTTGGATAGCAAACCAGATATCTTTGAAGGACAGCGGTATAAAGATAGCAGGCCAGACTGCCTGGTGACCATTCACATCCCTCAAGGAGAGCAGATGCCCTTGAGGCAAGAATGGAATGGTCATCAGCAAGAGAACTGGATTTCTAAAGTTAACTCATTACAGGCCAACTGATTTTCTGAATTAAGCTCAGAGACAGGACCATGATTTAAGCAGTTACCAGGGACAAGATCAATTAATTGTAAATAGGATCAATAAAGATATAGAATCAATTTAATCTTTTCACCTTAACATAATTTGTGGAAAGCCTATCTGAGGTCTATGTTCCAATTCTACTTTCAGAATGAATTCCCTTGATCTCTCTAGCTTAGATCTCTTTCTATCCTCAGTGTTCTTGTGCATAATGTTGCTTGTACCTTTCTTAGGGCACTGACAATGTTTTACATGATATGATAGTAACACACACCCCCCACACACACCTTATCTCCTAGGGTTATGAGTTCCATGAAAATACAGAATGAATCTTCCCCTTCTTTGCGTACCCCACATGCGTGTAGCGCAGTGACTTACTACTAGGCTCTGAATAAATGCTGAAATTGAGTTGGAATGATTTTGGCAAACGAATGTTGCAAGAAGCAAAGACAACATGCTTAGACACTTAAAGATACTTTGCAAGTGAAAATATTTACCAGTTAGAACTATGCTGTATCATTTGCGTTTTATGCTTAGTTCTTTCATTTATTTAGGCACATTCAGGTACAATTTTACATGTGAAAAGTTTAGTTCTGTTTTCAAAGAATCAGAGTCTCAGAGTTAAAAGGGATTTTAGAGGCCCCCTTGTCTCATCCATATTTAAAAGGGAGACCAAACATTTCTGATGTTTGCTTTATATAGAAAATTGAGGCATTTAGTCTTCTGCATTAACTACTATGTTCTCACATCTTCTGAAGATGACTGATCAGCAATCAACATCCAACATGTAGTTGGCATGTAGTTTATCAGGATCTGGTGATTTGAACTAATTGAGAGAAGTGGGTACATTTTTTTCTTCTATCCTTCCCTGGCTACATAACTGCCTTTGTAAGAAAAAAAAAAAGAGTGCAGTCATTCTACCTTCTCTATTATCTTCTTGTCCATCCTGAACAGAGATGTTTACACTTTTTGGTCCATTGTTAAGTGGGCAAAAGACACAAATTGTCAAGTCTGGTAATTTCTACTTTTGTAACATCTCTTGTATATTCCTTCCTCTCTCCTCTGACACTGCCGCCATGCTGGTTGAGGCCCTCATCCCCTTACCCCGGACTATTGCAATACCTGCTAGTTGGTTTTGCTGCTTCAAGCCTTTTCCCAGTCTAGTCCATCCTGCATTCAACTTCATCTTCCTAAAGTTTAGGCCTGATCAGGTCACCCTCCCCCCTATTTAATAAACTCCAGTGGCCCCGTGTCACCTCTAGGATCAAATATAGCATCCTCTGTTTGCCATTCAAAGCCCTGTATAATCTGGCCTTTACCTTTCCAGTACTCTTACACATTTTTCCCCCACCTCTGCAATCAAGTGACACTGGCTCCCTTGCTATTTCTTACACAAGACACTCCATCTCCACAGGCATTTTCTCTTGACAGTTGGTGCCCATGCCTACAATTCTCTCCCTCCTTGTCTCTGGCACCTGCTTTCCTTCAAGTCCCAGCCAAAGTCAAATTTTCTACAAGCCTTTCCCAGACTTCCATAATCTAAGTGATCTCCCTGTAAGATTATTTCCAATTTAGCACGTGTAGCTATTATTTGAGCATAGTTGTTTGCAGTTATACTGTTGTGTCCCCCATTCAATGAGCTTGAGAACTATTTTTTGCCCTTCTCTACGAATTGCTTAGGAAATAGTAGGCACTTAATAAATACTATTGACTAAGCAAAATACAAATAAGAACAACAGATTTCACCTCCCGCCATTGCAGAGGTGGGGAACACATATTTCATGTGTTGTCCAACGTAGTTGAAGTTTTGGTTAGTTTTGATGAATGATTTTTTTTTCCTTCTTGTATTGGAGGGTAGGGAAGGAGGGGAGAAATACATCAGAAATAAATGTAAAAGCAAAAGATGCTAATTAAAATAAGATTAAAAAAAATACATCTTAGGCCCGTATACTGCTATGGCTGTATTTCTAGAACCTTTTAAAATCTACTCTCCTAAAATCTAGGATGTGTATCAGGTCATGCCTGCCATTCTTCTGTCAATTGTAAAATGCTATAAATGTTCACTTCTCCCAATTAACTTTCTTTTAAAAATGGAGACATTTTCCTTGTTTCCCTTGTTGCTTCCTCTATATTATGAAGTATACATTTATTGTTAAAGCAAGTTAATTATTTTCTTGCTGCTCTGCTTTTTTGGGGAGGGGGCGTGGGGGGAGAGAGAGAGATTCAGCAAATGTCCCTTTTCACTATTATTTTTTCAGATCAATGTTGTTATAAATAGTAGTTATAGTCCCAGGTTATCCAACAAAAACTTATTTAACCAAAAGAACCATATTTGAGTCTCAAAATGGGCCATATGGTGCAGAAAGGAAAAGATGAGAGGTTCCATTTCCTTGGGCCCTGGACCGGCCCTAGGCAAAAACCTTCATATACACAATTTTTTTAATTGGTTCTCTTTTTCCCTTTCTGTACCCTCAGGCCCAAGTTGCCTGGTGCTCTCATGAGACCCTAAACTATGCCCCATCCTGTCAGCCCACTTGCCCTCCATGTATTCAGTTTGATACTCAACTTTGCCCTGCTTGATGTCCTAAAGTGCTTGCTCCATGGTCCAAAATTATTTCTTCTTCCTCCTTCCTACCCTCATCAAACTCCTACCACTTCAGTTTTAGCTAGATATTAGGAAAAAGAAAATCTGATTGCAATATTCACACTAATAGGTCATAAATCCTTAGCCTTTCCAGAGACATTTGTACTTTAAAAGGGAATGCTTCTTAACTAAAATGAATTCTGATTGTCAGAATTTGAGATGATATAACAATGAAATGAAAATATTCCTTTAGCTGGGGAAAGATGTATTTTAGGATCTGGAAAGGACCTCAGTGACCAAGTCTAATCCTCATGCTTTAAAATTGAAGAAGCGGAGGCAGAGAGGGGTTATAGGAGAGGTCACACAGATTCAGTATTTAAAACCAGGTTTTCTGACTCCAAGTCCCATTCTCTTTTTGCTCTACTACATCTGTTCAGGGGTCTACTATATCCTTTTTCTTCTGGATCAAGTCCCATAAGATGTTGCTGGTTTTTATAGGTCTTTTCTTCCTTCATTTTAGACCTACATTTTATCTGAAAGTTCCATTTTCTTCACCACAGTTCCCAAATGGTTTGGGAAAGACTGGGTAATAATGGAGCAATATTATAATGTTATTTGTGCAGGTCATTTGTAAGTCAGGGGTTGCTGATGTGTACTTTGCTTTACTCTTTTCATACTCAAAAAGCAAGTGATTATAGTTTCTGTTCAACTTCCAGACTT